ACCCTTCCTTCCTCCCTCCCCGTACCCCTCCCCCCCCCGAGCGAGGCGACCGGGGCGGCCCTCCCTCCCCTCGCCGCCCAGCCCCTTCCTCCCACCCCTCCTCCCGCCGCTGCCGCCGGCTGGCGTGGCCGGGCGTTGCCCGCGCAGCGTCGTGGCGAGGCCGGCGGTGGCGGCCCTCTTCCCTTCCCCTCGCGGTTCCCCGGCTCGGGCGGCGGTTTCCGGCGATGGTGCACCTCGGCGGGCGGTGCTCGGGTGTAGATCGGGCGCAGATGCGGCGGCGGCGCGGCCCTTTGGCGGCTGGTGGCGTGGGTCGGCCGGCGGAGCCCTACAGGCCCAGATCTGGGCCCTTTTGGGTCCGATCTGGGTCAGGGCGGGTTGGTCTGGCCTCCGGCGGGTCTCCTCCGGCTGGGTTGTCGGGATGCAGTCGTTGGGATCGGCGGCTCCGCGCTCCGTCGGCTGCAGCGCGGCTGCAGGAGCTTAACGGGCCCGTTCTAGGCCCGGTTGGCCAGGGGGTCCGGCATGCTCCCGCGCCTGCGTCCGGTCAGCTACTGCTTGTGCCAGTGGAGGTTGTCCCTTCCCACATGGTTGTGGTGCTCCCGGTCCCTATCGGCGGTGGTCTCGTTTGGTTCGGCCGGCCTCGCAGTGTCTACGATGGAGAGACGACGGTGGTGTCCTCGTGATTGTGGTGGCGCAGGGTGGTGGGCGGTTGGCGTGGTGGAGCCACCGGTTGGTCCTGGGTTGTGGGTATGAGGGGTAGGGCGAAATCCCTCTCAGGTCCGCCCGGCACCGACGCGGTAACGCCTGCGGGCGCCATCAACCTTCTTGAAGGGCGTCGGGAGTACCTCTCCCCTGCTTCCCTCCGTGTATCGGGAGAAATCCTAGGATTCGTCCGGGCAGCAGCGTCGTTGTCGTCGCAGTCCTTCTTGAAGGTGTTGCTTGGTTAGCGGCGACTCGATGGCATTGAAGCGTGGTGGATGTCTCCGGTGGGCGCAACGGTTGCGGGATGCTTCAACTTTCGTTCATCCGGTGCTGCCGGCATTTCTTTCTCTTACTTTTCTTTTTTTTTTGGGCATGGTTGTGTTGTTTGCCCCAGCGTTGAACTTCTGGTTGTATCGGATGGTTGCTATATTAATATAGGGGGGCGGCAAGCCTATTTCGGTAGAAACC